TAACCTTCGCCGGTTATGGTACCAGCTGCGTCGACAACTCGAAGAAGTTTTACGCGGTTTACGGACAGCACCTGATGAAGCGTCTTTGATGCATCGTTTGGCAAAGGTGGCAACCGAGTTGGCGGTACGTTTCGATGGCCATATGGGCGGTGTTGCGCGATTACTCGGAGGAGAACTTATGGCAGAACACAGAGACCCTTCCTTGATTGCAAGCCATTTTGGATCTCAAGGATTCACAGACATGAAGAGGCTGATGCAGGCAGTGTATGACGGGGTGCCGGTTAGTGTCGTTCCGGGCGGTGACTTGGACGCCGCACTCATATACGGTAATCACTCGAGCGCTTCTCCTCACCAACAGACGTTGCGGAAAAGACTAATCGAGGATTTGGTTCACGGTCGGGTGATGGTGCTGGATAAATCCGCGGCTCGCATGATCAAGCATTTTGCGTGTGTCTCCGCTAGCAGTGGTCGAATTAAAAGACAAAACTCGGGTGATCCTGGATTTGTCATTTAGGGCGGGTGGTGATGGCGACGGATGGAAAGGTGTGAACGGTGACACTTGTTTCAAAACGGCACCCATCAGCGAAATCGGTGGGGTATTGCCGAACATTTTGAGACATGCTTGTGCCTTACGGGAGGCGAAGGGAGGCGGGGTCCCAATCTATTGCGCAAAGATGGATGTGGCAGATGCCTTTCGGCGCATCCATATCGAGTGGGAAAAAGCACCAGTTTTTTCGTACGTGGTGGATGACTTTTTGGTGGTCGATTTTCGGATGGCTTTTGGGTGGAGAAACTCGCCCGGGTGGTGGTCCTTGGTGGCATCGGCGATTGTGCACTCGCACCGGCACACGAACTGCTTTAACGTGAATGTGTTACCGGAGGCGGTCGAAATTGCGCGCGAAGTGCAGGTTAGGGCGTCCAAGTATGAGGAGCCGGCAACTTGCGCGCCTCCCGGAGTCGTTGTCGCGCCCTTCGCTAGCGATTATACGCCTGGCAATTATTTCGGAGAAATGTATGTCGACGACATGATCAATCTGGAGGCGTGCACCGATGGACAGGAAGAAAACTTGCTTGTAGCAACTCGATCGGCCGTTTCCGACCACCTCCGAATGCTTGGAAGCACAGCAGACAACCCCGTACCGGTTATGTCGAAAAAGAAACTCACAGACTGGTCGGTTCAGCAAGAGGTTTTGGGATATGCTGTAGATACGCAAAGGATGATAATTGCGATTCCCGAATAGAAGATCGCTGAGATCATGGAGCTGCTCGACGAATGGCCGAATACACGTCGTTGGGCGAGGGCAAAAGACGTATGGAGTTTGACTGGCAAGTTACGACATCTTACCTCCGTCGTACGGGCAGGAAAGTATTTCGTGTGGCGGCTTGGGTTTGTCACAGGGCTTGCAGACAACGATCAACACGTGTCGACGGTTATGAAAGAATCCACAGTGAGTTTGGGTGAGGAGTTTCATGCGGATTTGGAGTGGTGGCGGTGGGCTGTAAGCCAAAGCTTACTGGTGGACGGCGTCTCTCTGTATTCCCCGTTTTACGATCACGTGCAATGGGAACCGACGCGGCATTGGTTTTCCGATGCTACGCTTGACGCTATTGGAGGCTACTGCAGCGAACGGGGTGTGTGGTGGCGATACGATTTGTCTCCAGAGGAGAAACGTCGTTCTTCCGATACGGCTTCTTGCGGGCGGCAGAATATGCTGTCCATCAATCTGTTGGAAGCGTTGGCTATGGTCATCAACGCGTACGTGATGATTGTCGTACTTAATGACCGGCCGGTTGTCGCTGGGGAACCTGTTATTTTTCGTGGTGATAATACCTCTGCCGTGACATGGGTTAACAAGTGCGGGGGCACTCGGGAGCCACGTGCAGCGTTCATTATGAGATGGCTGGGCGTGTTGGAGATGAAAGGGGGGTGGTGTTTCGAAGCGGCACATATCCCTGGAGTCGAGAATGTGTTGGCGGATGGCATTTCACGGTGGACACGCGCGAATATTCCTCGCCGACTAACTGAGCTGTCTCCTCTCTCGCGCGCGTGTTGGCAGGAGGTCAGTTTGGGGAAGGCAGGTGGGATGGCATGTTCGGAGATCTTGCGGTCTTACTCTCGACGGTCGGAGTTGCTCCGTCGACTCACGCCACTTATGCGGCGGCTTGGAAGCTTTGGGTAGAATGGCGAACGGTCGCGGTGCGTAAGAGTGTCTACTTGGACGAGGCGAGGGGGGAGGAGGTATTGGCAAGCGAGTTGGCGAAGTACATGGCGTACCTGTTTTTCTGTCGGGGCAACAAAATGTCCACGATTGCGGGGAAGTTAGTGGCGGTGAAATACTATCACAAACGCATCGGGGTGGACCTCCCCATGAAACATCACTTTTTTCGGGCGGTCAAAGCGGGTTTGGCGAGAGAGAGCACGCTGCATACCGAGAGTCGAATGAGACGCCCCATCTCATGGACTATTCTTCGGAGCGGCATTCGCACGGCGGCGGCCTGGGGGGAAGGGGGACGGGTGTTGTGGCTCGGCCTTGCGGTGTCCTACTTTTTCATGTGCCGTCCTTCGGAAATCTTCGCGTACGGTAACGGTAAGATTCACAAGGAGTTCGGGATTACGCGAGGCAATGTGGCGTTTTGGAAAGGGGAGCAACAGCTACTGACACCGGCACTGTGGCGTTGTGCGGATAGAGTGGAGGTACTGTTTGAAGCGTCAAAAAGCAACCACGACGAAGCCGTGGTGTCGCGGGTGAAGACGTGTCCGGGGTTGGCGGCGTTTGACTGGGAGTGGAATGGCACCGGTGAGGTACCGAGGGGTATGGTTGGAGTCGGCGGGTTCGAAGTGTTGCTGGAATTGATGTGCTGTTTTCCGCAACTCGATGCGATGGCACCGATTACCGCGTACCCTTCTGGTCAGGTGTGGAAGGTTTGGACGTGTGCTCAATCCTCGTCGGCGCTACGCGACCTCGTGGCTGGCCAAGGTTTGAAGCCGGAGGAGTATGCGCCGCATTCCGGGAGGATAGGTGGCGCGACTCGGTTAGGGGCGATGGGGTTGTCGTCGTGGGCTATTCAACAGCAAGGGCGGTGGAAATCAAGCGCGTTTCAATCGTATTTGCGGGCCAATTTGGATGACGTTCAGAAGGCGTCTTTCGCGCTGGCATCCGACGCTGCTGGGAAGGGGATTCAGCCAGGGCAAAAAACGCGGTGGCAGGGAGGTCGGCTGGGTGCGAGGTAGTGTTCCGGGAATGGATTAATCTCTGTTCTGTCTGTCTCGTGTTTATTATGGTTTTGTTTGGGTCGGGAGGTCGTACGCCTTGTCGTGTCAGAGGTACGATTAAGCGGTATTTTTCAGGTTGGATGGGAAGGTGGGGGAGGGGGGAGAAGGGATGTATTTGAGAGTAGGGGATGGGGGGAATGGGGGGAGAGGTGTGGTAAAGGTGGAATTAAGGGGGAGTAGGAAGCAGATGGTGACATGGAAGAGCAGGCTGTTAAGGTGGGGTAGCAAGTGGAGGTGTGACAGCCTGCCTGGGTCTACGTTTGTTTGTGGGTGGGGTGTGTAAGAGGAACCCGGGGGAGAATTTGGTGTATGGTAAACCCGGGTTGCGTGATGAAGTCGTGGGGTTCCATTACTTCAAAATAATAATAATTCTAGATTCATGAGCATAACAAAGTGTAAGATTGAACGAAGAAAATCTGGGGTTTGTGGCGCGGGACTGAATCGTACAGTGGCAAGCAACAAGAATTAGCGGGGAAGTTTCTGAGGAGGAAAGGGTTACCAGAAGAGAGGTGTGGTGACGTAGTGGAGTACACTTGTTCTGTGAGACGAAACGGGGAGTTGCTGTAGAGGTTACCGCGGTCTATTGTAGACACAAGGCTTTAGGTGACCGAGCGGGAAACCCTCCTGCCCTCCCACCCGGGTTTTCCGCGATGAACGGGCATTCAGGGTTGGTGGGGGGTGGGGGTGGGGGTAGCAAGTGGAGGTGTGACAGCCTGCCTGGGTCTACGTTTGTTCGTGGGTGGGATGTGTAGGAGGAACCCGGGGAAGAATTTGGTGCATGGTAAACCCGGGTTGCGTGATGAAGTCGTGGGGTTCCATGACTTCAAAATAATTATAATTCCAGATTCATGAGCATAACAAACCGGCACATACGACGCCGCGGGCAAACAAAACGAAAATAGGTTACAAACCACTCGGAAAAAAGAAAACATGATAGAAAGCAAAGAACAGGTATCGCATCGACCGTTCGAGAAAAGAGCCCTCGGAAACCGATCAAAATATAACAAAAATAACAAAAAGGAGGACGCTTCCTACACCCAGCCAAAGAAGAACCAAAGTGTGACGTACCAGCACCAGGCACTACGCACCAGGGCATGGGAGTAACGGAACAAACACGACAACGAGGCGGCAGATGGGCAGACAGCCAGACGTACAAAAACAATGGCAACAGCNTAACAAAAAGGAGGACGCTTCCTACACCCAGCCAAAGAAGAACCAAAGTGTGACGTACCAGCACCAGGCACTACGCACCAGGGCATGGGAGTAACGGAACAAACACGACAACGAGGCGGCAGATGGGCAGACAGCCAGACGTACAAAAACAATGGCAACAGCAAAGGCGAGATCAAGGTACCCAACCCAGCAGAGTAGGCCGAGAGGTCATGAAAAAAATAAACACGGCACAGAGGCCGAAGGCAATACAAAGGACATACGTAAAGAAAGAAGTATAGCATACAACAGGGAGGGAAACAGGGCGCAACAAAATCTGCCGGGTACATAGTTCGCCACATTTGCTGACTCGGCCGCCCTACTCGCGTCTACAGCAGTGCTTGGTCGCCCTTTCCTCCCCTTCGCGCTAGCGCTTCGCGGACGCTTCCGCCTCCTGCCTGTGCCATTTCCTCATGAACCATGCCGCCCCGTCCTCGACCTTGTGGTACCACACCTCCGGGTCCTTGGCGCTTTCTTTCCATTGAGCCCCTTCCTTTTCGTCTCCCATGTTGAAGGCCACGAGGTCCTCTCCTAGACGAGACACCCAGTAGCTCTCCTGCCCGCCCCGGTATCCCACGCCCCCCGCCATCGCTCCTCACAGCATGCGCTTGGGGAGGCGGTTGTCCTCCATGGGCATAACAAAGCCCGCGAAACACAGTCTCCGTTTGCG